CCTCTCTGGTCTCTCATAAATTGGAGGACTAGCCCCCTAACGTGGCCTGGTGTCCTACGTTAGTCTCCTATACTTACTGCAGTCTTCACTGTCAGCTAATCTCAGCCTGGCAGGCCCATCAGCCTTTCAAAGAAATTTTCTCCTTCCCAGGAAGCTGTTTTTTCTTTTGCTATCACTGTGACAACTCCTCATTCCACACTCTCCCTTCTGATTCCAATGTTTTTTGTCTTTTCTCCCATCTCTCGAGCTGAAGTAGAATCAATCTATTCTTCACTCATCTCCCTGGGGCCACTCTCTCCCATTATGTCCAGAAATGAAGGTTTCAGAAAGCATCAAGCTTCCTTCTTGCCCAACCCTATCCCACTAACTGCCAAACAGAAATCCTTTCACTTAGACTTTAAGGCCTTCCCCTGATTTTTACCTTGGATCTCAGCTCTCCCTAGGGTGTGCCTTACTAAAAGTATATACTTCTATGCTTAAGAATCTGTGATTTCTTCAATGTGGGTAAGCCCTTCACCCATGTACATGACAAGCCCTCTATAGGTAATATCGTTAATGGTCTTTGAGAGTTGTCAACCTGGTGATGAGCTTTTGCAAATTTAGTGAGACTAGTCCTGAGGCAAGAGATGTACAATCTGTCTTTGGATCCATACTTGAAACTTTTCCATCTGCTCTGATGACACAGCCTTATAGAAGCCAGGGTCATGAGGTGTGGGGAGAGGATATTTTATTTAAAGTACAAATAATATGTTCTAAATAAATATTTGTGGATTGATTGTTGAGAGTGAGTCAGTCTCCCCCTCCTCTTCTGGGGTGGTCAGAAGACTCTTCTTATCCTCTGGTGCTTGGCAGAAGGAATAGTCTAGGGGCTTTTGATGAAAAGTCTATTCTCATGCACCTGCCTGCCTTCACAGTCATTCATGAATTTCCCATCTGAATTTCCTGGCAGGACTTCCTGAGAGAATTCATCCTCCCTGCTGTTCAGTATTGACCATCAATAAGTTACTTTGTACTGAGCTCTGAAGGCTTTTCCCCTAATGTCTCTATTGGAGGTTGAGGCATCTGGGGGTGACTTGGGGACATGGCCATGGAGAGCCTGAAAGGGAAAGTCCACAGCTTAGCTGGGACAAAGCGCTTACTAGGTGAGCTGGGAAAGTAGGATGCCCTGTATGTCGCTGTCCACCACCGGAGCTTTTGAGCCTTTCCTAAAGTAAGGCATGCACCTGCATATCCCACAATTCACTTGAGTTTAAGGAGCATTTATGGAGCCCCTTCTATAGTGCTAAGGATACAAAGACAAAAATGAATAGTCTCTGCCCTCACAAAACTTAGCAATATGTTCATTTATATTAAAAATTAATGATGGAAACTGGACTTGGTGATCTTTAAGTTTCTCCAGCTTGAACAATATATGGTTCTATTAAAGAGTCTCCAATGCATATTATGGCTCTTCCTGTATGTTGTGCCCTTGTTTGTACCCTATCTGTACTCTGATCTAGGGTGAAGGGTGGAGTCCAGAGTAGAAACCGCCTAGTTCCTTGGAACCCAAGTCACCCCTATGGGAGTCCCCCCACTCCCACCCCAGATAGCCTAGAGTCAGGAGAATTTGGATTCAAATTCTCCCTCTGATATGAGCTATATGCCTCTGGGCAAGTGACTCATCCTCTCTTCACTAGAGTTTCCACATCTCTAAAATGGGGATAATAATAGCACCTACCTTGCAGGATAATGGATAAGATACAAATAATATGTGTGTATATCACCTTGCAAACTTGAAAACACTCTAGAAATGTCAGTTGTTATTATTATTGGGAGAATGAAGGGCAGCCAGGGGATCATTGCTCTCCAATTGTATGGTCCCTGGTTTTTAACAAGCCACCAACCCAACCCTAGGCCTTGCCTAGTCACCCTAATTGCCAGGCCCTTCTCCTTTAAGATTACCATCCATCCATTCTCTCTGTACACACTTATTGGTTATATTGTATCTCCTCATTAGAATTTAAGCTCTGAGGGTAGGGACTGTTTGTTTTGTTTTTCTTTGGATCCTCATTGCTTAACATTGTTCCAGGCACAGCTTAAGAAATACTTGATGAATAAATACGTTGACTGATTGACTGGCTTCTTGCTTTTCTCTGTACCTAGTAACCAGGCAACTTCTTAGTAGGTGCACATTGGCCTATTTACATGTCATCTCCCCAATTAGAATGTAAGCTCCTTGAGATCAGGCACTCTCATGATCTTATATTTTTTATCCTCAGTGCTTAGCATAGTGATCATTGGAACCTAGTAAGTGCTTAATAAATGCATTTCTATTTCACTTCATTTTCAGGCTCTGCCTCAAGCTTTTACTCCAAACTTAGAGAACAGAGGCCTTGCAATAATCATGACTTCCAAGAGTGAAGATGATGTGGTATAAGGCTGCCCAGGAGTGATGAGAGGAAAGATGGACAGAGACCCTTGCATAAGAGGAGGCCATGCCTTTTCTTTCCTCATCTCATCTCTTTTTGCTTTTTACCGCCTCCTCTTCTTGCCTCTCTTCTGGTTTCGTTCCTCTCTTGATGCCTAGACTCCCATCCCTCCTGCCACTTAGTAGGGAATTCCCAGAGCTATAAGGCTTAATGGGTTCTAAGTGTTCAGAGGCTGAAGCCTCTGAACAGAATCCTTTATCAGTCAAGAGAGTTACAAGAAGCTGATTCTGTGACTTGAGGCTGGGTCCCCTGTGATGGATTTTATTGCCTTTTTTTTTTAATAGAAATCACTCTTGCTCTTGGTAATCTGGTTTTTCTCTGGTACAGTCATATGTGAGTGTGCCTAGCCCCTTACTGCAGTTATACACATGGACCCCTCTGTGCCCCCTCACCACTCACTGTATATAGTGCCAGGTAATAATACAATCTCTGAAGCTCTGGCCATGGTGCTGACTGTTCATTGCCCTGGTCCTCCATTGTTTTTCTGCTAGACTTAGTGTCTCTTCATGAACCATATAAGAATGTGTTCCCTCTGGATTCATATATTCTGACATTCATTGACTTCATGGGAGCCACTGAATGTACTCAAAGATCCTCGTGCTGTGAGACCTTGAGATTTCATTATCTCGTGCTAGTAACTGCTTTATCATGTTGCTACAGCAGTATCTCATGATTTCTGAAATCTTCTCAGTTTGAGTACCATCTACTTGAATCTCATGTGTGAAGGGATCCAGGAGTCTGCTAGTCCAAGTCATCTCCATGACTGGTTAGTTGTGAACTAGGGCACTTCAAGTGTAGTTTTGCCAATTTTCTCTTACAAAGCAGATGCATAGGTAGAGGTGATGGAGGGAGGTAGAGGCAAAGAAGAAAGAGATTTCTCATATCCACCTAACCTCCTAGTTCTTGCTGCATCAGTTCCTCTCAGTCCCTCCTGGATCTTAGCCCAGAGGCTGTAGCTGGCAGCTGGCTCCTCAATGCAGCAAGCCTCTGGCCCCAGAGCATCCCTGCCTGGCAGCCCTCCCACCACCTGTCAGGGAATCATGAGTCTCAACAATGAGGTCTCTCTGGGAGCCATTTGTCAATTTTCCATGGGTGACTCAGTCCCCTCAGAGGCTGGGCCTGGTGATGGCAGGGGTAGTGGAAGGAGTTGGAGTCTTATGCCAGGGGGCTAGTGTGGGATATAGCGACTCAGTCCCCAGACAGCTGGGGGATCAGCTGGCACAGGACAGCCCCCTGGGGCAAGGGCAGACAGCAGTCTTCCAGAGTCTTTTTATCTAATGTGCATTTTCTGTTGTTCATTTCCCTTCCCCCCCCCCCCCCCCCCCCCCGTGCTTTAGAAGTAGTATGCTGCATTGGAAAGGGTTTTAGGTTTGAGCCTCAGCTTTGCCATTGATGATATAACCATGGGCAGATCCCTGAACTCCTCTGGGTCTAAGTTTCCTCCTTTGTAACATGAAGGAGTTGGGTTAGGAGATCCCCAAGATATGATATTCTTTGGTCTTGTGACTGAATAGACCTGGGCCACAGAAGCCTGGAAGCCAAGCATCAAGGAAGGGAACAGTCCTCTGCCACCTGCTCCAGTCACCTTGGCTAAGAAAGTCTGAACCTGATCTAGTAGTAGTTTCATTTATATTTTCTTAATTCAGTGGTTCACCTTAAGGAAAGGGCCCTTTCCTTTCACTCAAATCCTTAGCAGGCAGGATTAGTTCCAGGCAAAGGAACTGAAGGAAAAAGGAAAAAGCCCTTGTGGAAAGTGACAGAGCCGGGGTGGAGGGAGCTACCCTTATGGTTCCTGAGACAGTGAGTTAGTCAGAAGCCCCCCATTTCTTTTGCCCTAGGCAGTCCAGGCAGTGTTACTGGCCAGGGCATGTGGGCCCTTTGGGAAGACTCCCAGATGATGTTGATGATGAGGATGAAAGGGTGGAGAGGAATTGTCCCTTAATTTACTACTCTAGGGCCAGAGAGTTAAGAATACTTATTAGAAAAGAAAAAAAAATACTTTTTAGACCACCCTGAAGCCCCAGGCCTCCCTAGACTCTCACAGCTTTGATTTCTAGCTGTAGTCTCTTGTTTGCTTGGCCTGATTCCCCACCTTGAAATCAGAGAGCTATTGTAATCAGCTGTTGTTGCTATAGCTCTGATGGGCACTTCAGCTTAGTGAATGCAAGTGAGGCAGGGAAAGAGCTCTGGGCAATGGCCTGCTGCCATTTCAGTTAAGGATTATAGAATCATTGATTTAGAGCTGGAAGGGATCTTAGAGGCCATTGATCCCTCAATCTTACAAATGAAGGAACTGAGGCACAGAGAGGTTAGATGACTTACTTAGGGTCGCACAGCTAGTAATTGTTTGAGGCTGGATTTGAACTCAGATCTTCCTGGCTCCAAGTTCAGCACTCTAGCCAATAAAATATGGGGTGGCCATTTGATTGTATCAATCACCCTCTCTGGGGTGGACCTCACTCCTAGATTTTTCTCTTTTTCTTTTTTTCTCCTGCCCCATGTTCTGTGGCCTACTGTCCTCTGAAAGCCCAGGAGGTAGAGGTGAGTACTGCCTGAGTCTCCAGTGACTTTCATTTCTCTGGCATTGGATACCCCTTCCCTTCCCTTGTTTTCCCGCCCAATTCTCTTTTCCCAACAGGGCCCAGTGTGTGTGTGTGTGTGTGTGTGTGTGTGTGTGTGTGTGTGCGCGCGCGCACACACACACTCGACACTGCAGACATTGAATTGAAGGGTTCTGTGGATAGATTTGAAGGAGATTATGAAGGCAAATTATAGATATACAAGGGTAGTTGACCGTGATTGGGGATGGGGTAAGTGAATAGAAGAACCTTTGTAAGAGCTCAAGTAGGATGGAAGTCTTTTTGGTAAGGATGAGGAAAAGTTTGAATGAGGAATAATTGCACAGGGAATCACTCTTTCCACCCCCTTCCTTTTGCTTCTCCTCTTTCCCTCCCCTTCTCTTCTTTTCTTCCACCCCCAAGTCCTATTCACTCTCTAAAGCTGAATTTTGTCCACCCTGAGCACTGAGCTTGACCACTCATCTCTTCTCTAGGATTTCAATACTTCATTTTTCTGATCAACTCCTCTTTCCCCTTCCCCTCTCCTCCTTCCTAGGATGACTACATCAAGAGCTGGGAGGACAATCAGCAAGGAGATGAAGGTAAATAGTTGCAAGGGGGTGAGGAGAAGGGTATGTGAAACCAGTTAGAGTCAAGGATAAACTGGAGAGTCCCAGGCTCTGACCTGAGGGATCCTCAGGGATCTCAGCCCTGAAAAGGGAGATGACTGGAGTTACTAGCTTCTAGAGAGCTTGGTGCCAGAGGGAGAAGATGGTCAAGCAATAGGCTTTGGAAGTCAAAATTCCCTGGGTTCTTTTCTTGTGGACCCCTGAGATAATTTCTTTCCCAATTCTGTCTTCTCAGCTCTGGACACCACCAAGGACCCCTGCCAGAAGGTGAAATGCAGCCGACACAAGGTGTGCATCGCTCAGGGCTACCAGAGAGCCATGTGTATCAGCCGGAAGAAGCTGGAGCACAGGTAGGAAGGATGAGTTTCAGGTCAGCTGAACCCTTGGGGCCTTCCCCCCAGAAGGCCAGGAAGCTATTCAGAGTCCCCTGGGTAGGGGATCAGTGTGGGAGAAGACAGGTGGAGGGAGCTGCCTTGGGGGGTTCCTTGAACTCCCTAGAGGTCTTTACACAAAGGTCAGGTCTGTTGTAAAGGAATCTCATTTTGGATGTGGGTTAGCTTAATTGGCTGCTGAGCTTCCCTGAAATTCTGTGATCCTAGGAGAGAAGAAAGAGGAAGAATGCATGTGATTAAATAAAATGGTTCTTCAGACACCCTGCTCTCTGCTTCCTCTTTGGATCTCTTCTTGTGTCCCTTTATCATCTCTCCTTTCACTCAACACTTCTTTTCTCCTTCCTTTCACTTTGCTTTTCGACTCCATTTTGTTATCCCATCAATTACCAGCAAGGCAGCTAGGTGGTGCCAGAGTGCACAGTGACCAACCTGGAGTCAGGAAGACTCATCTTCCTGAGTTCAGATGTGACCTCAGATACTTGCTAGCTGGGTGATCTTGGGCAAATCACTTAACCCTGTTTGCCTCAGTTTCCTCATCTGTAAAATGAGCTGGAGAAGGAAATGGCCAACCGCTGCAGCATCTATGCCAAGAAAACCCCAAATGGGGTCATGAAGAGTCAGACACGACTGAAAACCACAATTACCAACAAATTACTTTTTCTCCCTCCTCCTTCCTGTCTTCCTTTCTCTTTTGGTCTTGCTTAACTCTTCTTCCCCTCCCTTTCTTTTTCATCCGGTAGGATCAAGCAGCCTGCCCTGAAGCTCCATGAAAACAAAGAAGGCTTCTGTAAACCATGTCACATGACCCAGCTGGCCTCTGTCTGCGGCTCGATGGACACACGTACAACTCTGTGGTAGGCCCTTCTTCGTGGAATGGGGGTGGTGGGGTAGTCAAGTCTAGGAGCAGCAGAGACGCTACATCCTGTGTTTCTGATGTTGAACTTGGGGGCCCATCCGAGAAGCTGGGACTCCCAAGGTGCTTTCATTGACCATCTACCCATCCCTTCTCCAGGACACTGGGCCTCTTAGATGTGGACAGTCACTTGGGGTGGTCATTGCCGAGTCTGACCTCAGGTATCCCTACCTTCAGCCCGACATTAGAACTCACAACCTCTCCAGCTACGGGCATGGCGTCAGCCAGACCTTTGACTAATGGAAGTTTACACTTCTGAGACTGGCATTCAAGGCCCTCCACAATCCGGCATCGATGTTCTAGCCTTAGCTCTGTTGTTTGCTTTATCCTCTAGCAAAGCTTAATTCCTCTCTGTCCCCTGAATGCACAATCTACTCTTATGTTTGTGCTTTTGCCTACACTTTTCCCTATGTATGGAATGCCCCATCCAATTCATCCCATCCTCTAAAGTCCGAGTCCAGTGGTGCTTCCTTTATGAAGCCTTCCTTGATCTCCCAGTCAGAGTCCTTTCAGCACCACATAGCCCTTTGCTTTTACCTTCTTTTGTAGTAGATTTACTTGTCTAACTTCCATACCCCCCCCATCAGACTTTAAACTACACGATTGAAGGAACCGGGTTTTTCCTGATTGAAGCCAGGAAGCTAATTAGGAAGCTGTTGAAGTGGTCCAGGCAAGAGGTGATGGGGGCCTGAACTAGGGGAGTGGCTGTGTGAGTGGAGAGGAGATAGATTTGAGAGATGCCTCAGAGGTAAAATTGACAAGCCTTGATAACTGATCACATATGGGTGATTGAGGGAGAAGAAAGAACCAAGGATGATTCTAAGGTGTTGAACCAGGTAGTGGAAATATCGTGGTTGCCCTCAACAGAAGTAGAGCTGATAAGACTAAGCTTAGAGAGCACTGTCTTGTGCATATGAGACAGCATTATCTCCTTTTTTCCTTTTCTTTTTCTCCTTTATCTCCTGTATTTTTCATTCACACCATGCCCCCTAACAGTGGGTGTACCCCAGGGCTCTGTCTTGAGTTCTTTCATCTGGCGACCTCATCAGCTACTATGAACTTACTTATCCTCCCTAAGAATGACTCCCACTCTCCTGAGTGTCCTTTTTGCATCACCAGCTGCCCCTTGGACATTTCAAGCTGGATCTCCTGTCGCTATTTAAAATTCAACATATCCCAAACTGAGCTCAGTTTTCAAACCCTGTCATTTCTACCTCCACAGCACCTTTCAATCCATACAGCCACTAACCTAGTTCAAGCCCTTATCACCTCTTCCTCTGTACTCCATTTCTATTTTGTAACAAGTTCAGAATAGTTTTGACGATTACTGATATTGTTTGAGGTATAGAAATACTGTTTCCCCCTCCATTCTTACTTTTTTGGGATTTCCCTTGATATTCTAGATCTTTTGATCCTTCCAAATCAGTTTTGTTATTCTGCCTACCTCTCTAAAGTATTCTTTTATTAGTATAATTGGTATGGCCCTAAAACCTAGGCAGTATTGCCGCTTTTATTATATTGCAATGGCTCAACCTTGAATACTAAATATCTTCCCAATTATTTAAGTTATACTTTATTTTTAAAGGAGCATTTTGTAACACATTTCTATAGATATTGAGTATGCTTTGGTACACTTCCAGATCTTTTATGAATTTTGTAGTTATTTTGAATAGAACTTCCCTTTCTACTATTCCCTTCTGGATTCTGTTATTGTTATATAGAAATGACAGTGATTTTTGGGGGGGTGGGTTTATTATGTTTTTAATCTTGCTATTTTGCTGAAGCAATTGGCCATTTCAATTAGTTTCTTTACTGATTCTCCAGAGTTTTCTAAGTAAATCATCAGGTCACCAGCAAATGGAATACAACTTCTCACTGGTTTCCTTGTTTCACGTCTCTCCCCTTTTTAACCTATCCTCTATCCACAAGCCAGAGTTTTCCTTAAGCACAAGTCTGATGATATTATTTTCCTCCTCAGTAAACTCCAATGGTTCTCTGTTACCTCTAAGATCTAATATGAAGCCCTCTGTTTGGCATCTACAGCACTTCACAGCATGGTAGCAATCTACCTTTTCAGCTTTATTGTATGTTCCTCCCCTCTGTCCATCCTGTCATCCATCCAGAATGGCTTTTTTTTTACTGTTAATTATGCATCATACACTCTATCTCTCATCTTTGTGCCTTTATCTTGGCCCTCCCCCACAGTTAGGGGATGTTCCTGCTCACCCCTACCTCTTAGAATCCCCAGTTTTCTTTGAGACTCAATGCTACCTTCTGCCTTTTCTGATCCCTTTCCCCAAGCTGCTGGTGTGTTCTCCTCTCTAAATTACCTTGCCTCTATTTGTGTGTGAATGTGTATATGTATACATACATATATGTATACAGAGGTAGAAATTGGTATAAACATGCAAGCATACATCTAGGTGCATATATATCATGTGTGTGTAGATGTGTGCTACCTATGTACATACACATACATGTACATATATTTGTGTTCTCAGGACAGGAGAAAAAAGTAGACAGGTTGGTTTGTGACTAGCAAGCTCTGTTAGACTTTGGTACTAATGAACCCCAATTCACACTGAATATCTATGGGGTTAGTTTTGTTTTACTGCCCAGCCACAGACTTGACCCCCTCCCCCAAGCCAACCTTTTGGATTTATTGACCCTGCTTAGACAAGTTGGGAGAGTGTGGTTGGCTCAGCATAAACCCATCTCCACTAATGAAAAAGAATTGGGAAAGCTCTCTTCCTATCTGAATGGGTATGGTTGAAGTGGGAGGCTTGGGCAGTATCTCGTCCCAGGATGCTCAGGGTAGGAGGGATGTGATCCCAGGCTCAGCGGTTAGCTGTCTGGCCCTTCTCTCCCCTACAGTGTAAAATGGAACAGCAGGCCTGCCTGAGCAGCAAGCAGCTGACAGTGAAATGTGAGGGTCAGTGTCCTTGCCCCACGGAGCAGGCCCCAGCCTCCACCACAGACACGAAACAAGGTAAGAACAGCTGGAGCACCCTCTTCACCCCCAGGCCCAGCCTGCTCTCTGGCATGGCAATAGTGTCCATCCTCTCTAGAGTTCAGCCTTTTCCTTGAGGTCAGGGACAACATGCACTGTCCTGTGGCCTCGGCCTGTTCCCGCGGAGAGAGGACAGTTTCTGCTTCAGTAGGACTCAGTCTGATCTTGGAGATAGGGACAGAATCCACTTTCCCCTCTCCTTGAAGTAGAGGACTATTTGAACCTTGGTTGGGGTTGGAAAGATCCATGACCAGCAGAACAAATGGATGGGGAGCAGAAAGGTAGAAGAGCAATGAAACCAAGGAAAAAGAAGGGGAGGACAGACATGTAACCAGTACTAGGCAACAGGGGCTTTGTCTCCGGGTGCTGACCTGAGGGGTTGAGCATAGAAGAAGCCCAGTTCCTACTTGCCCCTAGGCCACCTCCCCAAGGTCACGTTCCTCATGCCCTTCACTATGGGCATCTTCCTGATGCTGGCTAGACCACTCCCCAATGGGTCTGATTGTCTGGGCATCTCCTGGGCTCAAAGGGCTCGGACCCTGCAAGACCCTGCAAGACCCCCAGTGCCGCTTCAGCCTTGGAGTTTCCTGGCTCCTTTATCTACTCCCTCACCAACTGAATCTGCCCCATGGCTAAGATTCTCAGTTATGACTCTGGATGAAGGAGGTGGAAAGCCCGAGGAGCCCCAGGCTCAGATGGGCTGGTGTTCACACAAAATTAGAACTTACCTCCAGGCCCTGTGCAATTTTTTCCCCTGGGTGTCCTGAAAGAAGTAACTGATGAGCATAATTGTGGAGGACTTGTAGAGACTAAAATCCTGAATTTAATTAAATCCTGGATTTTTTTTTTAATATCAGGAAGGAGAGATAATTGGGGTGGGGGGCTACAGGACTGATAATGGATGGAGTCTGAGGGAAGGGGCAGGTGGGGGCTAGGAGAGCAGGCCAGGGGGGAGTGTGAGGCAGAGGGAGAGACCTGGTGGATCCCCTTTCCTGGCCCTGCTCCTTGTTCGTGCTCCCTTTGACTGTAATTATTTGGGGTTTGGGGGTGGGAGCCCGTGCTGAGAGGTGACTGTCCATTCACACTCCCTCCCTATTCCCCACCCAACCGCTTCCCCTCACATGTTGTATTGGCCACAGAAACCTGCACGGGGCAGGACCTGGCAGATCTGGGGGACCGACTGCGGGACTGGTTTCAGCTCCTTCATGAGAACTCCAAACAGAACGGCACCGCCAGCGTCGGAGCCAACCCTGCCGGCGGTACTGGACGGGCCCGGGACTGGATGGGATGGGGGCTGGAGGAGAAGGGGAGGAAACCCTGGGAGCTTCGAGCAGGGATGGGGCCAGAGGTGTCACCTCCGCTTTCTCCTGCTGCCTTGGGGCGCTCCCATTTCAAGCCCCCAGGGAAGAACCCAAATCCAGGAATGAGAGGAAGGAGCTTCTAACTATGGCTGGAGGGAGGCAGCCTAACCGTGGGGAGAATTGTTCAGTGAAACAGGTGACCAAGGACAGTACAACATTTTCTTCAGAGGTTGCTGAATTTAGTTAGAAAAAGCTGAGCTTGACTCCTGCTCGGATATTGACCCGTTGTACTGCCCTGGACAAGTCACTTCACCCCTCTGACCCTCAGTTTGCTCATCTGTAAAATGAGCTGGAGAAGGAAGTAGTAAACCACTCCAGTATCTCTGCCAAGAAAACCCCAAATGGGGTCAGAAAGAGTCAGACAGGACTGAACAACAACAACATATAAATACTAGATATTATTATTATTTTAAACTTCTCTGTCCCTTAGTTTCCTCATCTGTAAAATGGGATAATAGCTGCATTTATCTCCCAGAAGAGCAGGAGAGTTAATAGGTGCAAAAAGTGCTTTGCAAACCTGAAACATAAGCAGTTGTTTGGATTTCTTGAGGAACAAGAGGGACATGTGGGTTTTGTATAGTTTAGGAGGAGTGTTCTGGAGGTGGGTAGATAGATGGATGAAGTAAGCCTCTTGGAGCCCACTAGGGTTCTCAGACTTTGTGTTTAAGCTGTGCCCAGTAGAGGTAAATGGGAGAGGGTGGGAGACTGGAGGGGGATGTGGAGGGTGTGTGGAGGGGTGTGAGTGGGGATAGGGTCAGCAGGTGGCTTGAGGGGCCAGTCCCGGCATCCCGTTTCTCCCCAGGGCTGGACAAAAGCCTGGGGGCCAGCTGTAAGGACTCCATCGGTTGGATGTTTTCCAAACTGGACACGAGCAATGACCTGTTCCTGGACCAGTCCGAGCTCGCGGCCATCAATCTGGACAAGTATGAGATCTGCATCCGTCCCTTCTTCAACTCCTGTGACACCTACAAAGACGGCCGCGTCTCCACCGCTGAGTGGTGTTTCTGCTTCTGGAGAGAGAGTGCGTGGGCCCTTGGGGAGAGGGGGGCAGGGAAAGGGGCCATCGGAAGTCAGGGGGTCTTGGAAACTTGGGGGGGCCAGTCCACTTGGTCACTTACCCAAGCCACCTTGCAAATGTAAAGACCAAACATTTGCCAACCTGGTCAGTTCTTAGATGATCTTTCTCCTTTTCAGACATTCCCAGGGGGCCAGATAAATGAAACCAGGGCTCTTTCCTGATTATCTGGCATACATTGCTTGCAAGACAGCTAGGGGGCATAGCAGAGTGCTGGGCCTGGAGTCAGGAAGACCTGAGTTCAAATGTGGCCTCAGACGCTTACTAGCTGTGTGACTCTGGACTAGTCACTGAACCCTGTTTGCCTCAGTTTCCTCAGTGGTAAAATGAGGATAGTAACAGCACTTACCTTTACCTGATCCTTTTGTGAGTGTCAAATGAGAAAATATTTGTTAAAACACTTAACTCAATGCCTGGCTCCTTGTAAATGCTATATAAATGTTTGCTAATATTATTATCCCTAGAAGCAGATTACTGATTATTACTTAGCTTCATCACCAGTCATAACAGCATCCCACTTTTTATAGGGTGTTCTTCGCTTCACCATGTCTTCGGGGCAGCTTCCATGCCTTACAATGCCGAAGCACATGGTAGGTGCTTAAAATAGTTGGTTGATTGATGGATTGATACGTTCTGTGTCCTCTTCAGAACCCCCCTGCCTGGCTGAACTGGAGAGGATTCAGATCCAGGAGGCAGCTAAAAAGAAACCCGGTGAGTACCTGGTAGCAAGGAGACTTCTCAGAAGGAAATTGTGAGCGCCAAGTGGACCAGAGACTATGGTCATGCAGGGCGAGCTTTCATCTGGGGTGGCCGGAGGAAAGAAACCTCACCTTGTTTTTCTTCTGTGGGAGGAAATGTAGCCCCACCCAATTAAGGAGTATTGAACACATGCCGGGTGTCTGACTCTGGTTAAGATGCTCTGGGGGTAAATAGAAAATGTCGGAGATGTGGTCAATCCCTGCCTTCAATGAGTTTTTAATCAAATTGAGATGACTCCTACGTATAAATGAATTAAATGCTGCTAAGGGCAGTAGGGGGCAGCTGGGTGGTGCCATAGTGTTGGGTCTGAAGTCAGAAAGACCTGAATTCAAATTTAGCCTCAGACACGTACCAGCTGTGTGACCCTGGGCAAGTCACTGAACCCTGTTTGCTTCAGTTTCCTCATCTGTAAAATAAGCTGGAGAAGGAAATGGCCAACCAGTCTAGTATCTCTGCCAAGAAGACCCCAAATAGAGGTCCTAGAGAGTTGGACAGGACTGAAATGACCCATCAACAATGAGAACAAATGCAGGAGGAGCTCAGTGTGGAATGGAGGGATTGGAGTTGATTTGACAGAAGACTGAGCCAAGCTCTAAAGAATGAGTGGGATTTGAATAGGGAAAGGGAATGAATGTTTCTTAAGTGCCTACCATGTACCAGGAACTGTGCTAAGCACTTTAAAAATATTATTTCATTTGATCCTTACAGCAGTTCTATGAGGTCATGATCCCCATTTTATAGAGGCAGACAGGTTAAATGACTTGCCCAGGATCACACAGCTAGTAAGTATCTGAGGCTGCATTTGAACTCAGGTCTTCCTGACTACAGGCCCAGCGCTCTATCCACTGTGCCCCTTAGCTGCCATAGACAGTCAGGAGGGGAACACTGGAGAGCAGGAAGGACGTTCTAGGCAAGAGGAACAGTGGCAAAGGTAGAAGTGGATCAGAACCAGCAGGGGATGGTCAGATGACTGGCCTGAGTAGGAGCTTCAGATTGGGAAGAGATTAGGTTGAATCAGTTAGTATTCCCAGGGAGTTTAGATGTGGTTCGGTAGGCAATGAGCCTTTATTGAGGCAGCTGGTGGCACAGTGGGTAGAGTGTTAGACGTGGAATCAGGAAGCCCTGAGTTCAAATGTGGCCTGAGACTCAATGAGCTGGAAGACCCTGAGTGAGTCAGTTTCTTTCCCAGTGAAATGGGCAAATTGAGGATGTGATTACATTTTCATAGTACTTTTAGGTTTGTGAAGTGCCCCTCTGCACAATTCTGTGAGGTATATGGTGGTAGAGAGAAGAAATGGTCTTGGAGTCGGGAGGACCTGTGTTCAAATCCCACCTGATATTGACCAGCTCTGTGAAGCTGGGCAAGTCATTTCATCTTCTTGAGACTCAGTTTTGTCCTCGGCAAAATGAGAATGATAAGTTGAGAGAAATGATTATTAATAACGCATGATTTGGGGAGATCCGGAGTTCTCTCCTTTTAAAGTCCTAATTTTAAAAGTTCAGCCTATTGAAGGACAGTGCTGATGATGAGATTAGACCCACCCTGGGTCCTGCTATTGTCTCCTGATCAGGCTTGGGTAAGGCCTTCTCTCTTTGAATAGATAGCCCAAAGCTGGGGGTGGTCTGGGTACAGAGATAGTTTCTCTGCTCAAGGATGACATGAAGTCACTCTCAGCCCCTCATTTTAATATGTGACACGTTCCATTAACATATATAACACCTTTGATTGTGTTAACCAGAGCCTGTCACCATGATTGTCATTGATCTAAGAGAGAGATGCCAGATGACCATCCTTTTATTAATAACCTGCTGGCCTTATTAATACAATGATTGAATTACCCAGAACTACATCTCTCTAATCTTTTTAATCATCACCCAGTGTGAAATGGCAGAACATATCTAAAGGACTTGGCCCAGCTTAAAACTCTATGAATGTGAGCTTTGTTCATAGCACAAGTAAAGAGTGAAGAGATTCAGATCACAAAATTGTAGCCTATTAGAATGAGAATAAATCACCTACACCACGGGTTTTTAACCTTGGTGCCACCAACCTCCCACCCATGCACCCATTCTCAGAACAAGGTTCTTAAATGCATACAAAATGACACACAGAATTGCAAAAGATGCCAAATGCATTGAATTTGTGGTTTTTTCCTTTTTTTTTTGTGAGGCAATTGACTTGCCCAGGGCTAGTAAGTGTCAAGTGTCTGAGGCTAGATTTGAACTCAGGTCCTTCTGACTCCAAGGCCAGAGCTCTATCCACTGTGCCGCCTAGCTGCCCCTACCAAAACATTCTACAGAAGAGAAAAGAGAGAAAGTGATGTGTCCCTAATCACATAGCCAATTAGTGAAAGGTCAGTACTCAAACCCAGGCCTCTTGACTCCTAGCTTAGTGGCATTTCCACCACACTGCACTTTCCTCAGTGTTTTAGGAAGATTAGTCTCCTTCCTACTGTCTTCTAAGCCTTAAGGAACGTTGGCTGTCCAGATGGGCTGTGCTGAGTGCTGGGAGAAACCCCAGTGGCTTCCTTAACCCTAAGGTGAAATAGGAATTTCATGTGACTGTGAAGTAAATCTTTTACAACCTGGCCTTGAGGTTCAACACGTTACACTCCTTCCTGGACTTTGCAGGCCAGACAAACTGGCTTCCTTGCTATCCTCACACATAACGCGCCATCTTCCATCTCGCACCGGCCCATGCCAGGGTTTGGAACGTCCTCTTTCTCCTTCACGGGGTCCCTTCGTGGCTTTCAGGCCTCAGCTCAGCCTCTGCCTTCTGCATGAAACCTTTCTTTCTCCCACAACTCCTAGTGACTGACCTTCCCCAAACTACCTTGGTTTAATTTATATCTTTTCATAATGTGATTGACCTGTGGTCAATCCTCATAGAAATAAGCTCCTTGAAGGTAGGGGCTCTTCCATTTCTGTCTCTGCAGCCCCACTGCTTAGCACAGTCCTGGCATATAGTAGGCACTTAATAAATGCTTGTTGGTGCCTAACTCCACTGCTCCTTTTCAAAGGCCCTGTTGACCACTCCAGTACTTCTGTGTTCTCCTTCCTAGGCATCTTCATCCCCAGCTGTGATGAGGATGGCTACTACAGAAAGATGCAATGTGATCAGGGCAGTGGTGACTGCTGGTGTGTGGACCAGATGGGTCAAGAACTGACAGGAACCCGGCTACATGGGAGCCCAGACTGTGGTAAGCTGGGAGAGGGGAGGTCTGCAGACGCACTGGGAGCTGCCTGCTGGTCTCTGAATGAAGAGTCTCCTCTGGCAGGGAAGGCGGGGCCCTTCCTTTCACACTAGCTGAGACCTGAGGCTCCTCTGCTCTTGGGAAGGGTTTCTACATTAGGAGACTCTCTAGGCTTCCTTTCTGAGGTGGGGATCCCTGACTCTAACCCATTCCTTTTGCTGTCACCCCACAGATGACATCGTTGGGTTCTCCGGGGACTTTGGGAGTGGCGTTGGCTGGGAGGACGAGGAGGAGAAGGAGACGGAGGAGGCGGGTGAAGAAGCGGAGGAGGAGGAGGGCGAGGCGGGCGAGGCAGATGATGGAGGCTATATCTGGTAGAAGCCCAGTGAGGGAGGCCTGGGGGGAGGAGGATGCTGGGGTACTGACAACTGGGAGGGTCCAAAAAAGCAGTGAACTGGGTAGAAACAGGGCAGCTTAGTGAGTTGATCAGGAAATCACAGTCGAATGTAACTTGACTCCAGTGGGGAAGAATGAATGCATGTGAGCATGTAGTATATTTGTGGAGTGTGTGATGGGGGTGTGTGTGTGTGTATGTGTGTGTGTGTGTGTGTGTGTGTGTGTGTGATGGGTGTGTTAAGTGAGCATGTGCATGACCTGCAGCTGTGGGCAGTGTCATTGAATGAGGCCCCTCCTGGCAAACCAAACCACCAAAAGTCACCTCCAGCCTTCACTCATTTTTTTTAATACTACATTAAAAATTGATGAGATGTGATACTCCTTCCCTCTCCATACCCTGATATGCCTTCCCAAAGTTAGAAGTTGACTCACCCATTTACCCCAAATGCCCTGTGATTGCTGTCCATCCTATCTGTCCCTGTCCTCTCTGGCTTTTTATACTAGGCCCAACTCCTCCATATCCTGGGGTGAAGCAGCCAGCCACTTGCCTGAGGTCCTGGCCTTAGCTCCAAAGGAGAATGTCCTGTGGTCCACCAACATGGAGAATACAAATTGTTCTCAGTGTATGCACCCTTCCCAAAGACCAGGGGCCATGACTCTTGAGCTGTTTTGGCACTGAGACTGTCAACCATTGTCACTAGCCTCAGAAGGGAGGAGAAGCTATCCATTTGGGAGTGAGCCCTTCCTATGGCTGGGTTCTTGTAAGGCCAGAGAGTTTCTTCCAGCCTGGGTTGTGGGAGAGATGGTAGGGAGATGAGTGGGGAGGGGACAAAAGCTCCCATAGCTACTGGAAGAAGTTTAGGGTTGGTGATGGAGAAGGCCTTGCTACCCAACAGCTCCTACAAAGCTGTGCTGAAGGTATCATTGGGGTGGGCTCAGGTCCCCATGGATGGCTGCCCAGCGTCTACCTCCTTGTCCCCAGGATTGGGAGCACCTCCACAGAGTTGAAAGACTGGATACCTTTGGGGTGAGGATTGGAACAGTTCTGACTTGTAGATCATCGGTGTAGGGCCTTCTTGGGCTGGAGCATGGCCTAGCCTCTTCCTATAGCAGTGATTTTCCCCAAACCCCAGTTTAAAGCCAGGACTGCTTTCTTTGGGGAGCAATTCCATCCACCTTCCCCTCCTGGTTCCTGCCCAAGAGCTGGGCTGTGGTGACTTGTTGCCCCCATAAATTGGTGTTAAGGATGCTGGGTCTTGCTAGGGATAGAAATTAAAATACCTGGAGCATGTCTCTATCTCTTTCCTGTCCCCTTTACCAGAATTTCCCCTTCCTTTCCTGAACCAATGGAAACAGGCAATCCCATATAAGTTTTTGAAACAAATTTCGAAGCTGGCCAGATGACTCTGGAGATGGACGGTGGGTGGTAGGGAGGCGTTCTACTTTCCTGCCTTCTCTGGGCCTCAGTCTTCCTTCCCCCACCCATCCATTCATTCAGCAAGCCCTTATTAAGCACCTACTATGTACTCTAGGCACCGGGCATACAAAGATGAAAAAAGACAAGATTTTACATTCAGTTGGGGAAGGAGGGAAATAACATGTACCTCTGTATTCCAAATATAGACAGGGAAAGAGAACGTAATTTTAGGGCCTGATGCCATTAGCGCCTAGGGGAGCAAAGAGAGGCCGGATATAGGAGCTGGTACTTGGGCTGAAAGGAAGCTAAAGATTCTGGGGATGAGGTGGAGGAAGGCCTGGGAGGGAAGGCAGCTTGAGCGCCCTTATCGGAGGCAGTGGCTATGATGAGGCTGGTTCTGTACTCCTGGGCCTGATCCCTGGGCCCGCTGTTCTCTGCTGCCCTGGCCTTTTCCTCTGACGGGAGCACCAAAGGGCCTGGATTCTTCCCATTCACTGCTTTTGGTGCAGGGGCATTTGGATAGGTAACAGCATCCCTGGGAAGATTAAAGAGCCAGAGGAGAAGGAGAAAGGGAGAGTCAGGGTCCTGGGGCGACAGTAATAACCATGTGCTTCTGGCCTGGGAAAGGTCCGGTTTGTCAGGCTTCTCCTAGGACAAGTTACAGACCAGGCTGGGAGGGGACCACTAGTTTTTTCCTTCTGTTTTTCTCATTGTTAGGTTCTCCTATAATTGACAGAATTTTCCTATTGATGAGAAAAGGCTCCCTGCTCATGTTCTCACCATCCTGACACCCAGTGCTCACAGATGCCTGTGCATTATGTCTGTGTGCGTGTTTCTAAGGGCAGTCAGTGGTGTGTGTGTGTGTGTGTGTGTGTGTGTGTGTGTGTGTGTGATGGGCATGGGAGGGAGTGAGGGTGGGAGGAAGGGTAGTCCTGTGCCAATGTCTCTCTGGGCTGCCTACCTTTGACTTTTCCCTACACATCCCATTGCTTGGGCTGAGCTCAGCTTTGAAAGACCCTCCCTGACATTCCCCCTTCCCATCCTCCCACTGAGGGACTCCCTCCTCTTCTCCTGAGAGGAGTCAAGCTCCAAAATCCCAGCTAACTGCTCGAAGTGGTACCATAGGAAATGACACTCTCTGTCGCTCAGCTCTGATAATAAATGTGTCTTGCCTTCTGAATCCTCCTCTTCCCTCCTGGCTGTCTCTCTCCCCAAACCACCCACCCACTCCCCCATCACCTTCTTCAATTGAATCCCTCCCTATGTCCAGGGAAAGCTTGTCTGAGGTTCCCCTGCCACCCCCACATTTCCCGAGGGGTCCACTCATGTGTCCCTGAGTGACCTGAGCCCTTCCGGTGTCTTTAGGGTTCAGTAACTCTCTCCCCCTCCCCCGACCCGACCCAAACACTGACTGCTTTCTTGCCCGCTTTCATCCTCAGTCCGTGTTCTGGTGGCTGGGAGGGAGGTGGTTGGAGGGCAGGAAGGCCTGTGTCCCCCTTCTCCCTCCCTGAGGAGGCCTGTGCTCTCTATGTCTGCTTGTCCTGGGTCTCTCTCTGGTTGTGCACGTTTATATAACTTTGTAAATATGTTTTAGAAAGCAAAAGGCGCCATATTGGGTGCTAGGAGTATTCCTGCCATCCTGCACTCTCCTCTCTCTGAGGTCCTGCTGTTGCCCTCCCATCGAATTCTCATGTGAGGTTCCCCAGGGTGGTCCTTCTTCACTGCTATAGCTGGGGTTGAGGGGCATGATGGCTACTGAAATGTCCCTGTGCTTGAGAAGTCTTCAGCCTTCTACTTACCAATGGTTTCCAAATCAAACTTTTGTCTGGCATTTCTTTCTCCATGAGCCAGAGCTTGGAGGAGCTGGGGACTAGGGGGAGGAGAAATTCTCTCACGCTAGGGTAAGAGATTTAGGCCTTGCTCTGGCTTTCTCCCACTGAACCCCTGGGGCCACTGCAATGTCCTTCTTTCTACACCTGACTGTTCCCACTACAGCAAGGCAGCTGCCAGGCCTCTGAGCAAGTTCAGCCTCCCTGGGGGGAAAGACCTTGATGACTGAAAGAACAGTGGTGGGGAGAGGAAGCCTGGAGCCCAGGCAGCTGCAGAAGGGGCAATGGGGTCAGATGGAAAACATCTCCAAACAGTGTGTTGAAAGTCAGTAATTTGCCTCACCTGGTCTCGTTAGCCCACAGATACCAAGGAGGTTGGAATAAGACATTTGGTGGGGTCATGGGAGGAAGAAGGGAAGAAAACTCGTGCCTTGTTGAGAGAATACCCAGGAACCACTTTGTCCCTCATTTCCTTCCCCCTGCCAGGGTGGAGCCATAAAGGGACCTCTCTGACCTCCCTTTTTGGTCCAGACTTGACAGAGCCTTGAGAAAGGAGAAGCATGGGACTGACCCATGCCCACACGTGGGGCCTTTGGGGCACAGTGTGTGAGTGTGTGGAGCCACCTTTCACACTTTTAAACTGGGGCTACCCTCAAAGCCCCATCCCCACCTCTTTCAGCCTCACCATGGACTAGGTTTTTTGAGGTTGTTGTAAAGATTCTCCACCCCCCCAAAAAAACCCCCAACCTTAGGCCCTGAGCCTTGAAGAGTGGAACCGGCTGCCCGTCCTCATCTGGGAAGGCTCTGGGGTTGTTAGGGCGCCTGGAAAGGCCTGGTATGGAATATTTAGGGGCAGAGGGAGGGGAGGGATAGGTGTGCAAAATCGTGATTGACTTCTAAGAGGAGTAGACCGCTTTTAGCTTGAAACATATTCAGTCTTATGTGCAATAACTGACCTTACAGTTACGAACTGTGTTCAAGTGCTGTATATTTAAGTGCGAACACTGTATAACTCAGTAATTTTAGATGTTTTTACAAAAATCACAAAAAAAGAAAAACCAAGTGTTAGAATGTGTGTGTGCATCGAAGGGCACTGAAGCATCCGGTGGATCAGCTTTACAGAGCCCCTCTGCCCTCTCCCCTTCCCTGGCCCGCTTTCTTCCTCCTTGTGTGTCCCCCTTCCCCCCTCGGGAACACAGCCTTGTGTTGTCTTTATCTGCCTAATACTTAAGACGCTAAGGAGACAAGTACATACACATACATATAAGTAAATAAGATGTTATTTTTAAGAAAATGAAAATAAAAACTTTATAAACGCTACCTCTTGCCTATACTTTGTTTTTGTTCTTCTCCCTCTAACCCCAATGAAATTCCCAAATCACTGGCATTTTACAGAGAAACTTTAACTTGAGTTTATCAAGTATTTTAAGGCTTACAAAGCACTTCCTTCACCACCAACTCCTAACGTCAGGTGGCATGAGTAGAGCCCTCATTTTATAGATAAAGAAACTAAGGCTCAGAGAGGGAGACTTGCCCAAAGTCAGGCCCTAAATGGCAGAACCTAGGTTTGAACACAGATTTGTGTGACTCCAAAATCCAGTGCTCTTCACATCCAGAATCCATCCCAGTTCCACAGTTATGCTTTGGTTATCTTCATGTCTCAGAATGTGGGGGTGACGGAACCGAAGAGAAGGCACCACCCAGGCGGGGGAACAGAAGCTAGGGCCCTTCTCTTGACGTTCACCTCCTGGTCCCCAGCATGGCTGGGCTCAGTGTCCTGGAAGATGGCATTTCCCTGGTATTCTGGAACTTTCGCAAGCAGGCCCAACAGATTTCCAGGCTGAGGAGGGTGCTGTGTTTTCTTGCTATATACCTTTCCACTTTCCAGTTGCCGAGTTTACCTGTCAGGCTGTGATGGCTCTGGAGAGGCTCCCCATCAGAGAGTGTAGAGGAAAGGACGTAGAGGAGAAGCAGGAAGAATGATGAGCTGTCTGCCCATGGAGAGGTTGCTTTGAGCGAAGAGGATGATTGAAGAGAGAGGTAGTCGAGCAAGTAAGTGATGGTAGGGAAAGACGGGCCTGAAAACTAGTTTGCTTGAAGGGAAAATGAGCTGGGCCAGAGATTGAGAAT